TTCTATTTGTTCAAATTCAAAAATGGAATTTTAGGGTAGACCTTGTATGGTTGAATGCCAATCCATGTTTCATCTAAGACATGGATGGACAAAGGATAGTTTTATTAGGTCACTGTGTATAGGCCTTGACAAATCTTCCCAATAAAGTCCATATCATCATCCGATGGAACTACCCTTAGAGCTATTAGAAACATTATAGGAAAATGATTTTCAACTCTCTAAATTTAACTTTATATACCTTAGGGACATTGAAGTTCCACTTTGTTTTTCCTTTGTTGAGCTCAATTGGATCTACAATTATCCTCTTCGTGCTAGACGGTGACAAGTCCATAGATAAATCTTCAAATTTCTTTATAGGGATAATTAATTGAGACGTTCCAAGAAGGGGTCTTTGAAGTGAATGTTAGGTAACAAGAAGAGGGGTTAAATTGTTGTGTTCTTTAAAAATCAATTATTTAAGAAAAAGTTGTCTTTTAAAAGGTAACCATCTAAGGTTCACAAGGTTGAGTTAATTTATGAAATCAATTTCTTAGCAAGTTCTTTTCACAACAGAATGTGTAGCAATATACATGATATGTAGTAAGGTAAATAAAACAAGTAAGAGGATAAAGTTAGAGAGATTTTTGCATAAAATTTTTATATTGGTTCACCCCAATCCAGACTACATTCAGTCCTCACACAACCTGGTAAGATTTTCCACTATCACAACCAACTATTATTCAAGTTACAAACATCAGTCACCTAGTGATACAATCACTCCACTACATAGTCACTTGCTGTTAGTGGTTCTTACTCGGCCACCTGTTGAAATTTCACCATCAACAACTTGTTGAGATATCTAACCTCCCAATCACTTGCTATGAGTTCACGCAACCATTTGTTGTGATTTCTTTCATTCCTTCCTACACCCTACAACTCAAATCTAATTTTTCAATTATTCATAAAATTCTACAAGTAATTAAATTTTAAATTAATTGGTCAACTAGAGTTGGATTTAACTTTCTTAGAATTTTCAAATTAATATTTAGACTTCCACACAATTTTTACAAAAATCAGAATAAATAATATTCACACAAATGTATATGCAATGACAATATCAATATTAATATTAATATTAATCATGCAAAAATTTAGGATACTTAATGATTTTAAAGAACTTGCTAAGAAATATCAATATTAATATTAATATTTCTTAATATTAATATTAATCACAACAAGTTTAAGAATGCAAAAATATTAATATTAATATTAATACTAATCACTACTTAATAATACTTAATGATTTTAAAGAATGTTTCAGAATTTTACAAAGAATTGAAGAATAATGATATGAGGTATTTTAGTCACCCCCTAACCCATCATGTGTGTATTTAGATCGCTTGACTATCGGAGATAATCGTGAAGATTCACTAAAGATATGTTATCATTAAAGTGGTGCATTTAATGTAAAAGAATGTAGCTCATAATCTTCTTCTCAAAAGCATTCTAATTTTTATTTTTTATTATAGATATAATTTACCCAATATCTTAAAATTTAATATTAATTCTTAATCGAAGCTCGTAGCATTGTATACGAAAAGTTCAATGTATTAAAATCTGCTTTTTATATAAAGGCACCATTTTTAAGAGATTTGTCCTATTGACTTGTTCCTTAATCTTCTATATATTGTTTTTTTGATACATAGACGATGTGAGGTTTAAACGCTTCAGTTATTAAGACTTTTTAGACAATTTTGTTTTTTTTACCATACTCTTAATTAAAAAGCATAATAGCTTTTAAACATAAAATTTATTTATATTTTTAAGATTCATCTCTTTTTAATGTAAAACATTTTATATTGTCAACATATTGTAAATAATCATTAATATGATTTTTATATAGTTATTATAAACGTGTAACAAGATTAGCAAATATATCGATGTTGGATTTATTATAATGTAAAAAGTTTTACATTTTCAATGTTTACACTATTTAGTCTAAAATTTTAATACTTTAGTCTTAAAAATTAATTAAATAAAAAATATTAGCAAATACAATGAAACTGCATCAAAATTCACGTAAACATTTCAATAACATTTTTAAAAAAAAAATACTTTCTTTATATCATCATATTATGGATGTAAAGTATCAACAATTTTTTTAATAATTAATCTCTATCAAAGAATCAAATTTGTGTAATCTCTCTTCTTAATTATATTTTTTTAATTATAAAATTCAAATATGAGATGTTTCTTAATTAAAGAATCATAACTCAATTTCATTTGAACCAAATTAATGTTGATAATCAATTTTAAGAACACTATTTATCCTCCATTAAATATTGTAAAAATTAGAGAAATAGTATAAAAAAAAAATTACAAGAATCAATAGATTTTTATTAATAAAAAAAATTATGTAGTATATAAGGGTAGAAAAGTCATATATGTTTGTCTTTACATCTAATTGCGAACTTGGGATAACACTCGGAGAGTTGATAAAATATTCATACATATTTACAATGGTTCCAATGTTAGCTTAAGAAGTATAAACAAAATTTAATTGATAAATATAAATATAATTTTCTATTTTCTTTGTCCTATATAATATTTTTTTCAATATGAATTTTATTATCATTTCTCTTTTATTTACAAAAGGTGTGTAAAATGTTTTAAAAGAACGAAAAATAAAAGTATTAAAAAAAAAACTAATTAACATTATTTTTAAAATTTAATAAAACATACATATAAATAAGAATAAAGTTTTATTTTTAAAATAATTAACTAAATAGAACATTAATAATTCTCTCTTCCCCTTTTATTTCAATTTTTCAAATAGCAAGTTGTCCTCGTAAGTTTGACAGAGATGGAAAAGGTCAAGATCCAATCCAATGCTGAACTAATCATTTGTTGTTTATTTCACGTCAACCATGAAATAAGTTATAACATGTCAATTGTGTACTCCTAATAATATTTTCTTTTTATTGAAGAAAATAATAAAATACCCATTCTAATAAATGCATTTTCTATTATTATTTTTAAATAAAAATAATAAAAGTCGTATAAAATTTGGTGCACATACAACACAACTTCAAATATCACGTAAGGATTAAGAGTGCAGCTGGCATAAATTAATCTCAATTTTGCGTATAAATTTGTATAATCATTACAAACTCATATTTTAAGTTATTAAAATATATCATTGTTTTATCGTTAGTTTGTAACCTTTTATATAAATCCCCCCTATGGATTCGTGAGGCTAAAGTTTAATATATCATAATGCTCTTATTTAATCATTCCACTATGACATTTTTAGGAACCAAACTTCTAAAGGAATCCCATTGAGTAATTATACAGGTTGACTTGACTGCCTAGTATTTTAGCTTCTTTTCTGAAACTTCTTGATCAATTATTTTCATTCTTCATTCTTTTTTTTTAGATATGTGAATGAAAAAAATAATAATAGACAAGTTCATTTACAGATTCTTTTGTCTTTTTCATATAAATTTCATTACCATAATTAAGACTCGTGACAATGAAAAAAAAGAAAGAAAAAAGAGTATAAATACGTTACCCAAAATTCTAATTACTAAGTGAATTAACAATAAAAGTTTGGGTAATTTGTGAAAACACTATATTAAGTATTAAGTAGGGTCTTATTCTAATAACCAAAATCCTTATCGAGTTATTTGTTAAACATATAATTCCAGTGAAAGGTCATACAGAAAAAGATAGTGTTGAAGAAGCAGACGAACCATCTCTTTCTAGCCTTTATGCAATGACACTGCACAAATTTAAAGATAAGTTTAATTAATTAAAAAAAATATAGTTTTATGATATGAATACCCTTTAGAACAATTGTCTCGCAACATATAAGTTCTCCCACCAACACTAATTATTATAAATGATAACGATTTGTATCTCTTATCAAATTATTCAGAATTTACATCCTAATATTTATATGAAATAAAATATGTTGCAAGATAAATACTCATTATATATATATTCACAACTTTAATAACAATTATTCATTATTTTCAATAATAAATATTTTATATTAATATTATATATATAAAAGCTCTCTCATATGCATTTAGACTTGGTTACTTGTGCTAGTTGACAAAGCATAACAATATTGCCAGCTAGTAGAGCCAAGTAAATCAAAGACTCTCCCATACTGTGCCAGTGATTGATCAAACCCTCTAACTCTGCCAACAAGTGCCGTTTTGTAAGCTGCACCATGTAGTTGGCCCTGACACATTAATACATATCCCAAGCCTAAATGGTCCCAATTCTTGCATCTTACCCTTTCCACAATGATTAAATTAGGATCTCAGTTTTGTTTTCTTTTTCTTTTGTACCCTAAAACCCACCATGGCTGAAATTCCCATCAACAGTGCACCCCATGATTTATTCTATCATGGTATCATCAATATAGCAAAATTGAGGTTCTAAGTAAAGAAAAAAAAAATGTAAAATGCAAAACAGTCATCTTTTATGACTTAGCAGAATAATAGTTACTAGTTAGCACTTAGCAACACCTTGTTCCAAGTAATGTGTTGTTACTTGTTATAATAAGTAAACTGCATATATAGTTGTGGTGCTGCCCCACCTCCCTCGTGAATTATTATTATTATTATGATGATAATTGCTACTACTGAGTACATAGTGATTAATTAGTGAGAAGGATTTAATAACACACCACTTGTGTGGACAGTGAGAGAAGGAAACTAGAGATAGATGGGTGGTCAGGTTTTATGGTAGGTGACTAAACAACCACCTTCAGCTCACATGCCTTCTTTATGTGAATTATAAAAACCTTGCCTTTTTATCTCCTCATGTCATGTGTTATGACGTTCAGTACCTATCTCAATTTTTCAACACCTCATTCATTTCTCTTTGATGCAAAGAAAAGATAATCACCCACCAAAGTGTCACTTTTGGAATTTCACACAGCAACTTATATGGGGTGAAAGTGTGTGAAAGCAACACAACTGTTAAAAATCTGTTACAAGTTCCTCTAGTTTCAAGGAGGACCAAAAAAATCATGAGCTTAAAATTTGCAGCAAGGAACTTATTCCTTGAAGTATGAACAAAGTAACACAAACAAATACCACCCCCCCAAAAAAAAATATAGAAAATAAAAAAGAGAAACAGGTGGAAAGTTCCTTATGAACTACTTGAAGAATAACAGAAATACCCCCAAAGAAGACATGAATCATGTAAAAAAAATAATGGAATAAATGCATAAACTCTTCTATACAGTTTGGAATCTTCACTCTGAAGTTGAATTGAACCTCTGCTGGAATGAACTATCATAGGTTTTGTTTGGTTGGTTTAGTTAGAAATAAGGCCTACCAGTGCCTCCTGCTTGTGGCTGCTTCCTACTAACCACCAAGGTCTGTAAGACTCAGCATGGCCATGGCCATGGCTAGTACCTTCTTCCTCTGTAGAAGCAGGAAGATTAAGATCAAAAAAGTCCCTAATTTCTGGTGCTGCTTCCTCAAGTGTAACTGTTTGACTTTGAAAGTTTCTAGCACTCTCAGACCCACCAGCCAAATGATGAGATCTCTTGTGACCACCCAAGGCTTGGCCAGAAGGGAAAACCTTGAGGCAAATTGGACACTCATGCCCTTTAACCTTCTTGGACTCTCTCACTGTGTCTGCCTCATTATCAAAACCATTAGCAATAGTATTAGTAACCATTTCATGTTTTTCCACATATTCATTCTTTAGGAGCTTACTTTCTGTTGTTGTTGGGTCAGGGGAGAGGTGTTCTTCCAACTCAGTGCTGTTCTCACTGCTCTCATTTCTTGAAGCAAAGCAACCCTTGATCTTCTTGTGACTAGCCCTGTGGCCTCCAAGTGCTTGGTATGAGTGGAAGATTTTCTTGCAAGTAGTACACTCAAACTTTCCTCTCTTGTTGTTGCTTTTGCTCAGCTCACCTTCTGAAGGCTTGTTCACCCAACTCCTCAGAGAAGTTGACTTCAATTCAGAATCCAAAAACTTTGCCTTGATTGAAGTGTACTTACTATTACCATTATCTTCTGTTCCATTGTCCTCAAATGCAGAACTAGAATCAAGCTCAGCCTTCTTATCCTTCCCATGAAAATTCTTGTTGACCCCAAATCCACTTCCAAGACTCTCAGTAGTACCCAAAAGCTCTGAACTTGTTTTCCCTTTGGAGTTGAGATTTGAACCATCAAAATTCCCAAACTCCCTTGTTTTAGTAACTTTTTTTGGCATCTCAGACACATATGAGACAACCCTCTTGCCCTCAGTCTTAGAAAGAGATTCAAAATGCAATGAGTTACCAGAATTGAGACCACACCAAGGAGTCACATCCCTACTAAGCATCATCAAACTCATGGCAACCTCTTCCTGCTCCTGCTCAGCATCAGAAACGAGGGACACAGAAGAAGTTGATGGAGCCAAGTACCTTGTCCTTCTCCTCTTGGATCTTCTCCTTCGGTTTGGAGCAGTGGCTTCATTGTCAGAGTGGCTGTCCAACACCACCTTGTGTTCATGTTCAGCATTGGTGTTATGATTATCGTTCCACGAATCTTGATCCTCCAACAAGCTGCTATTGTTATGTGACACTCTCTCTGAGTGGCACTTCATGTGACCAAACAGAGCTTTCCAAGAGTGAAACCCTTTGCCACACTCCTTGCACAGCTTGTCCAACACCACCAAAGTGTCCTCACTCGAATCTGTGAACCTCCAAGTCTTCTTCGGATTCTCTCTCAAACCATACCCTCCTCCTCCTCCTCCTCCATTGTTACCACCCCCTTCAGAGCCTGTCCCCATGTCTCCTCCACCATTGTTGAAAGAAGAAGCTTTCTCTGCCTCGGTTGAAACATTGGTGACATGCGACCTCATGTGCCCCCCCAAGGATCTTCCACAAGGGAAGCTCTTGCTGCAGAACTTGCACACGTGCTTCACTTCTTGATCTTCTTCCATCGGATTCAAGAAACCGTAGAACACACACAAAACCGGATCAGCAAACTAACCACACTTCTTGATCAGCAACAAGAGGCTATATGATATATGATATATGATATATGATATATCACAAGGGAAAAAAAGCAAGACCCAGATCAGCATCACATCTTGGAAGCGGTTGAGAGAAGGAGAACGAGAACCCCATGTCTGGCTTCACACAAGAATTGCAAGGTGAGTGCAAGATCTAAGGCAGAAAAAGAGGAAAAGAAAAGGGACAAGAGAACGTGTAGTAGCATAAAAAATAAACTATATAAACTAGAAAGCTTGTTGAGGGCACCACTAGTAGTAGTAGTAGCAGTTGAATTTTGAAGAAAAAATCAAAGTTTTCAAGAGTTATTACCTTTGTTGGTTGCTAATGATAGCGATGATGGATGAGGAAGCCAAGGGAGAAAAGAACAAACAAGAGTGAGTGAGTGAGTGAGCGTTTGTTTCTCCAATTCTCTCTCTATCTCTAAACTTAGGAGGAGAAATCCATGCATGGAAGCAAAGATTAAAAATTAAAAATATAAAATATAAAATATAAAATATAAAAAATAAAAAATAAAAAAGAGAGAGGGACAGCACGTGTACTCAACCGAGGATCCTACACCACACCTTCATCCAACGGTTCCAGATTCTGCCACGTCAGCATCCTGCTCAAACAATTCCTTCCTTTGTCTTGCTATTAAGGAAAATGCTCTCTCTCTCTCTATTCTCTAATGCTATAAACACTTCAAGTGAAAGGTTCCACTCTCTGGCCGTTATTCTTCTGGACTTTCTATTACTCATATGTTTTTTTATTTGTCGGATTTACAACAGATTTTTCATGTGGGTCCCCTACCCCTACCTAGCTACTTCCAATTGCTTCATATTTCACCCACCCAACACGATTATTATTAAATCAAATTCATATATCATAGTTGCCAACAATAAGAGGGGTAAAATGTCATTTTGAATCTTAAAAGTGATAAGCATTGTCACTTTATTCATTAAAACTAAGAAAATATTAAATAAATTCCTATAATATAAATTAAACTTTTAAATTGAATCATTAAAATTGGTCTAATAATAAAAGATTGAAATAAAATGCGAAGGATCTTAAATTCAAATTTAGTATCGTTATATATAT